CCACTCCTTGGAAGGAAGGTTGGGCGATCTACTTCTGTAGTGATACTGCCTCGGAAACCCAAGGAGGGGTCGCTATGAGTCCGAGAGGACTGAATGGCACATAACAACAACAACATACCTGTGGATGTAAAGCTGTTTGGAAGTAAAGCTCCCTTTGTTGTGTTAATTAGGCAATACCCGAGTAGGGTGGGTTTGAAATCTAATCACTTCTGAGTTATAAAAAGGGTAAATTAGATGCAGAGACATGCACACACACAAGACAGATGCTGTGTAAAGGTTGATGAGGAGCACCCAGGGCCATCAGAAAGAAGGAATCAACACTGCCAAGGCCCTAATTTGGACTTTATGCCTCCAGAATTGTGAGAAAGTAAATTTTTGTTCTTTGAAGCCAGTCATTTGTGGTATTTCTTTTAAAGCGGCACCAGGAAACTAAGGACAAGCCTATGTCAATGAAACCAACTATTAAAATGCTTTTGGGGACAGGGAAGAAGTTTGAATATGATTGGATAGAAGATGACATTAGACATTATGGTTAATATTCTCATGTGTGAAAATGAAATTGACGGTATGAAGAGATGCCCTCATTCATAGGAGGTAAGTGATACTTTAAGTATTTAGAGCCGAAATACCATGATGTCTGCAACTTAAAGAGATATATTGTACTATCATTTATACTTTTCTGTATGTCTGACCTTTTTCATAAAAAAAGAAATTGGAAAAAATCAAAAAAATATATATGTGTGTGTGTATGTGCTCGAAAAATTCTTCTGTTAAATTAAAAGGCAAGCAGCAAACTGGAGAAAAGCAAGCCCAGATGACAGGCAAGTTAGCAGCCTCCATACATTAAATACATCAACTCCAGCAAATTATTTTGAAGGGTCCAAAAGACATGAGCCAATACGGGTATTTTAAATGTGCCATCTCACTGGCAATCAAAGAAACCTAAATCAACACAATGACTATTTCTTTTTGCACAACAAAATTGAGAGTTTATCTTAAATACTGGAACCCAGTACTGGGGTGAGTGTGGAGAAACAGGTACTCTCATATACTGTTGGTGAGATGATAAGTGAGTGCAACTTTTCTGGAAGGCAGATTGACCATTCGTGTCTTTGGCCCATCAATCTCACTTTTAAGAATTGACCCTAAAGAAATAATAATGATGCAAGCTAACAGCAAAGATTTAGTGATGAGGACACTTATCACAACACTCTTTATGGTATCAAATAGTTGCATATGATTTGGAAGTCCAGTTATGAGCCATTGATTACGTAAACTGTGCTCTCTATCTAATGGAATACTGAGACAATTAAAAGTGAAGTTGCAAAATAATGTATGACAGATAGTAAAAGTATGTTGTTGTTGTTGTTAAGTGCCGTCGAGTCGTTTCCGACTCATAGCGACCCCATGCACAGCAGAACGAAACACTGCCCG